CTTGGGCCCTGCCCTGGTCCTCTGGCCTCACCCCTCAGGCCACCTATTGCTCCTCCAGCTGTGTCTGCCCCATAAGTCACACGAGGCTTTTGGGGGACAACTAGACACAAACCATAACAATGTGCCAAATATTGGTTACCTCACCATGATCCCAACTGCCTATAGAAGGGGCATGGAGAAGGATGAAGAAAAACAGCAACAAATTTAGTAACTCATAAAAGTGGTGCCAGGAGGTCAATGTCTCAGAGAAGGTAGAGATACTGGCACTCTGGGCCAGCCATGGTTTCTTGGATATGCACAATTATTAGAGTGATCATCAAGTGATTCAGAATGCGGCAATGATCTTAAGTCTATAAGAATCATATATTGGAGTAGTCTTGCCCTGTAATGTCACAGGTTCAGGGGCAATTAATGCTCCGAATAAATTTGCAAACTGTGGTCTCCAAGAAGGGAGACAGCATAATTTGACAGCAAATCTAGTACTGAAACATGTGCATGGCAATGAATTCTGGATTACCTGTGGTGAAAATTAGAGTATATATATATATTTTTAGCACAGTCTCATAAAGCCCGAAGTGGACAGATAACATACATGGAAACATAACATAGGATTTAGCACTCTGATGAAATACATTTTTTCATTTTTATTTCAGATATAAAAATTAAAAATGAAGTAGAAGTGAGTTTCAAAACATAGTAGAAAATAATTCCAAGATGTTTTTTGTTTAGGGTCTTGGGCTACTATTTAAATAGCCACCTAATTGTGTCTGGGAAATATGTACCTGGAGTGGGTTACAGATTGTCTCCAGAGTCCTTGTCTGCTATAATAATAATAATGTTTCAACAGGAAAAATAAATAATTTGTGAATAAATGAAAGTTAAGGGAAATAAAGGAAAACTGTGATGTATGAAAAAATTCCTGAACCTAGATTTTTTCAGACTGAGCATCACAGACTTTTATAATACTGACAACAAAGGGGACAGAGATCATTCATTCTGTCACAGAAGAAGCAATACCTTATGGATTAGGTCAGCCTGAGATTCAACATAGATGTAAAGAGATCTGTATAAATGATGTTTGGACCATTGATTGAAGCTGTAAATTTAAATGTCATTATTTAATCTATATTCTGGGGCTGGGGAGATGGCTCAGTGCAATAAGTGCTTCCCTGGCAAGCGCAAGGACCTGAGTTCAATCCCTGGCTAAAAACAAAAACAAACAAACAAAAAAAACCCAAAACAAATAAACAAACAAACAAAAACCCAAAGACTTAAATCTGTGTTGTATAGCAGAAAGAGTGAAAGGCATATTGAGTTAGAATCGTACAAAAATGTTCAGAAACAGTGTTTGAGTATCTCATAGTGATTCGGCAACCAAAAGTGATGTTTAACAGTTAGGTGGCTCACATTTATGAACTCCATGTCTCAGAATCTATAGAAGGTCATCACTAACATTGTATTCATTATATTGAGTGAGTGACAAATACAGAATATTAACTTCTCTCAATAAGCCAGTTCTATTTCCTGTCTACTTATTATTTAGAATCAATTTGCAGCTTCACAAGAACTCCCAAACACAGTAAAAAGAAAACTCACAAACAGACACAATTACAGTCAACTGGCCCTCTGAGAAAGGACTTCTATCCAGAATATATAAAGAATTTAAAAAATCAGGCCCCTCAAATTCAAAGACCCACTCCAAAAATGGACATCTGTGATGAATATACACTTTTCAGATGAAGAAATACAAATGGCAAGTAAATATTTGAAAAAAATGTTGAACATCATCGGTCATTTGAGAAATGGAAATTAAGACAACACTGAGATTCTCTCTCATCCCAGAAAGAATGGATAACATGAAGAAGTCAGCCAATAACACATGCTGGAAGATCCATGAGAATAAAGGAACACTTCTCCACTGTTGGTGGGAATGAAGACTGGTACAACCACTATGAAAATCAGTGTGGAGATTCCTTAAAACACTAGGGTTTGGCGTTCCATTCAGCCTGGCTATTTAACTACTGTGTATTTTTTTTCTAAATACTGAAATTATCATGCCACAATGATATATGTGTACAAATGTTTGTAGCAGTGCAATTTGTCAAAAACCTAAATCTTAGAAACAACTCAAATGCCATAAAGTGAGGAATGGATAAAGAAGATGTGGTATTTTTACACAATGGATAATTGTTGACCTGTAAAGTGGGATAAACTTAAGGCTTTTATTGGTAAATGGATGCAACTAGAAACCATACCCTTAAGTGAGATAAATTAGACCTCTGTGCAAACATTATATTGTCTCCTTACTGTGAGAACCTGAAAGAAAATAAAATCTGTAGGGCACAATAGATACTGAGAAAAGAGAATGAACCTATTCAAAAGGAAGGAATCATTGACTTGAGGAGATGGATAACAGAGGAAATGGAGAAAGTGATGTATCTATGTATGTCAGCAGGATGGTTTGGACAACTGAACTGTGCATTTCTGCTGGTCTATGGAAAGGAATAGTTAGTGCTTGGTTTGTGTTGTCTCCTTTTTTGAATTGTTTATTCTTTTTCTCTTCTTAATTTCTTATATATTCTTCTCAGTTTTTCTTTCTTCTTCCAATTTTGCGTGTGTACATCTGGTAATATGAGCAACTAGTTGGAAGACAGCACTGTGTATTACAACAAATACTATGAAATTTGTATTACTTTGTTAAATGAAACTCTGTATCACTTGTAATTTATCCGTTTTAATATATTTTACAGTCTTTAAAAAAGAAAAAAGAATGAGTGTGCAAGAGAATGCCTATGACTGATACATTGTACATTGTTATTTCTTAATGGTTATCCATAGTACAAGAAGCAGACCGGCTATCCTGTCTAAACAGTATTAGTACATATCTTTCTTCTCATTGAATTAAGCAAAAGTAACTGTATATCTATCCTAACTATGTTGTATACACAAATACAAAATGATCTTTCTTTTGTATCCCCTTTTTTTGTTTAGTTCTGTCAGAGGTGAGTATTCTATTGGCATCGAAATACTATAGGTGTTTGAATTCCGCAAAACAATCCAACACTGTCCATAAGTCTACAATATTAGTGGGCTATCCCCAGAAGTTATTGACTTTAGCCTTTCACAGCTCATCATATTAATATGGCTTTACTTTATATACCTCATTTTTATATTTTTCTGCTGGATTGGTAAGACCAAGTTAAAGCAAGACCTATATAACAAGAAATGTAAATTTTGTATCTGATAAGGTCAGTCAAGTACCCTCAGGATTTTTCTTGTAGCTCTGTACCACACTTTGTGCATCCTTTTGTCAGTGTCAGCCATCAGGATGA